AGTTTGTAAAATTTTTACTTCTAACGAGGAGTTTGGACTCAAGTCTATCGATAATCATATCATTTATAGTTTGAAATGATTTCAAATGGATTTATGATTAGACTTTGAGTTCATAGTTGTCATCAAAGACAGAGAGAGTATATAAGAGAGGGTCCGACGACTATATCGTATCATTTGGTGCTTACACTCGACTTCAGCCACTTTTTTAACAACTTTTTTTTAACGTCTTCTTAAATTTTTTAAAGTTGTTTTTTCTCATTATTGCATTGATTACTGCAAATAAAGTCTGAAAAAGATGTCAAATACTTCAGGTGTTATTAAAATGGAGGCGTTCTCTCGATTCTCATCGCTACCACTCGTCAACTCTGCCATCGGTTTGGCCACAGATGGATATTCGCGTTTCAAGGGTTACAATCGGCTGTTGTCGGCCACCCTTTCCCGAGCCGAACAGTCTTTACTATTTATGGCCTCCACAGCAAAGCCTGTCATCCAAAAGCTGGAAAAGCAAAGTAAGACATTAATTGAATTAAAATTATGGTTATTTTACTAATTCCTTATTATAGTCTCAATCGCTGATAACATCGCCTGTCAGGGATTGGATAAACTTGAAGAAAAAGTTCCGGCGCTTAAAAAGTCCACCGAAGAGGTATTTATAGAGCCATTATTTGTGTTGATTATGGGTTTAATGACAGTATGATTATCGCAGATAAGGGACGAAACAAAGAAATTATTTGATGGAAGCGTTGAGCGCATTGGAGGGATGCGAAAGTACAGCACCGATACCTTACATGTTATCAAAGACTATGGCTTTACTAAAGTGAACGGAATTCTGGACTCTCCATACATACGTGTCTTAACCAAATCTATTGACACCGCCATCGACTTGACCCACAACGCCGTCGACCACTACTTGCCCGCCGCCGCCAACGAGAAACCGGCCGATAAATCTGAGGGCCAGACACTAGTGGTTCGCATGTCTACGTTGTCGGACAAATTGAGACACAGAATGTACGACCAGTTGACCACCAAATGGATACCTAATGTCTTGATTACCGCAAATTCCCTGAAGTCTAATCTTCTCAATTGGGTTAACCATAATCGGGGCCCAGAGTCGGCGTCCGCCCAATGAATGTGACCATCGATTCATTATTTTCTATACAAATTATACACTACTTTCTCTTTTTTCCTAATTATTCTTAATACTTGTTTTTAAATGATCTGTTTTTATACCTAACATTTAGTTAGTTTTTTATAAATTGATACAAAAATTGTTTTAATACTTATTAACATTTTATTGCTATTGTTAAAAAATCAATGCAAACACCATTTCATTGGAGAAAAAATAAATAAAATTTATAATTCAATGTATTTATTGTGTATTAATTGTACAAATATATCATCTTTAGTACCAAATCATCCGAAGAGAAGTTTTATGACAATAACTATTATATTGAGAAAAATGAGCGGAACTGCGAATTACAAGAGATAATCAGTGATTAGTAATGACAACACGTGGTGGACATGTGGTTACCTCTCATGACAGTGCGTATGGAGTGAATCATATTAAGCAGTTGTGATTTGACCGACGGATCCATGTGTTGGCCGTATTGTTGTTGCGCGGCGTTCAGCGAATGTCGACCCCATCCGACTGTACACACAGTCAATGAGACAATACATCAATGATTAATACATCGATTCAATTGATCGCTAAACAAATGGTGACTCACTTTTGGACAGAAATCTGTCCTCATTTAAGACAACGATTGCATTCACAATCAGAAGTCCGGTCTCCAGAAGTCCATAGATTGACAGAACCATCGCTACACTGATATGCGCTTCCAATGGATCCCTATTTACGTTAAAACACGTGTTAATTATGGCAACAATAGTAAGAGTGAGAAGTAGTTTATGACAAACCTTAATAACGATTTGATTGATTGCCTGTTAATCACTATTCAGTGGTAAACGAAATGTGAAATCAAAACACAAACACTATTTCACATTCAAATGACGTGTGAATTGAAATGCAATGAAAGGCACGCGTAATGTATGGCTCAACACAAACACCACTCAAACACAACACAAACATTACATCTAAACGTCGATTCATTCAGATTTGAGTGCCATTTATGGCCCCCTTTAAGGCCCACAACACGTGATATGAATGCAGAGCTCGTATGAAATGTGGTGTAAATGTGATGTACTTTATGGACACAAATGAGTGAAATCTATGCAATGAATGGTTGCGTGAAATGATTGTTGCATTCATTTCATGTTTGTTTGGTATTCATTGCTATTGAATGACAGGTAATGGCGTTTGCAGTCAATTACTTGCCATCAATAGTGGTGTTGAATATATTGCGGTATTTGTCGCCCGAAGACCGGTTGCGAGCGTCGGCCACATGCAGGACATGGAGACACTGTGTGTTCACTCGCACTCATTGGCCGCACAAGAGGTTTGCGGTGGACGTGACGGACAAGCGATGGACAGCTGTTGCCAGACATGAGTTGCGACGCAATAATAGATGTAATCCAACGCTAGACTCGACGCCAGCCTTGAAGTGCTTTCTCAGCAAATGTTGTCGTTTTCTCGAAGAACTGGTCATCACTTTTGACCCGAACTCGACGGCCAGTCTTCGCCATCTGTTAGACGTAATCGATATCTTGTTATCAAACGATACGAATTGTAACCAAAACTTGTCGACCGACGGCTCTGTCGATGACAACCAATGGCTGCGCAGCAATAGTCGACGTCTTCGGCGGTTAACTCTGAATCCAATAAATGTGACCAAAAGTCTGGAAGAGTTCGGCAGCAATGAGAACGACGCGCACATCTATCAGCTGTTCCAGCAATTGGTCCAACGATTGGATCAATTGGTGGACAAATGCGAGCCATTGGAACACATCTCGTTTGGTTGTCTTCAACCAGTGCTCAATCACTCCAATCGTTTCCTCCAGACGTTAGCCAAACGCCACTCACTGTCACTCAAATGTCTTCACTTGTCATCAGTCAAAACAGATCCCGACAACTATCCAGTGCTGGATCTATCAGTCCATCTGTTGGAGCCGTTCGCGAGTCTAAGAGTTTTGTCGATTGATTTCGATGTATTGAATGACCAAATGCTGCGATTAATGGCCCGAAAGGCGACTATCGATACGTTTGTAGTGAATGTTCACGGAATAGACGAACAACACGAGGGTCTGTCCGCCTCTTCGTGGAGTGTTTTGGCCAAAAGTAATCCTAACCTCAAAGTGACTCTCAATCTCATCCATACGGAAGACTCGATCGCCGTATTGCGAGACTCACTGCTCGATACAGACATGCCTTTGGCTCACTTCAGGGCTTATTTTGTCTATACATTCGGTCCGAGCGATGACTCGATCTGTCATTTAGTCAATTTGGTGGCCAACAGACACTCGAAGACATTGCTGTCGGTAACTCTGGTCAATGCGTTGAAGGGCACCAAAACTCGACACCAAAGGCCGAACCCAGTGTTCGCTGAGCTTCGGGAGAACCCATTAGTTATGCTCGCGTGGAGATCACGACAACTCCAGAGCCTCACTATTATTGGTAAGCATTGGAATCACTTATGAATTGAATTGACAGCTAATTACACGACAATTACAATACGATAGGTTACGAAGTCTGTGACTCAGACTTGATTGCAATAACACGACTCCGGGGCTCATCTCTGCGCCACTTCTCGTTCCCATTGTGTTGTATATCTCTATTGCACTCTCCCATCGCCGAAGACGAGGGCTATTACGACGACTATTTTGACCGACGGATGACATACTTCTTGGACGGCGCGCCGCAACACATTCAGACCAAAGTGATCGAAGACATCGCCCAACCGCTGGACCGTCGCTGGACTCCATTGACTTACGAACAGCTGCCCAACGCTGTCACCAATAGTGTCAACTCAATGCAAACTACTTACTTGTCCACCATTTTGAGAGATCAGACCATTTGCGGTGAGTCTCACCATAAGATCAACGCAACCACTGATACCAATTAGCGGGTGATGTTATAGTCTTCTTCATTACCGCTAAACTATTGTTGTTATCGATATATTGTTGTTAACCATTCAGTCGTCTCTAGTATTCATTCTAATCTTATTATTATTTTATTTGTTTTATTTTTAATTCTTATTGTTTTTGTTTTTTTACTTTTTTCTGTTTTTAATTTGATTTTAACATTGAATTGATTGAAAGTTTAGGAAATGTTCACAATTTAATTGAGAGAACATTACATTATATACAATGAAAATACTATATGTCGAGTAGTGAACAGATACACTGTCGATATGTATGTGACTTAACCTAAGCTTTGAATCGATGATATGTTTAATATTAGATAACATTAAGTTAACTTTGTTTGGGTGATGGGTTGTTAGTGTTGTCTTCCATCAGTTAATAGCATAGACTGTGAACTGAATGATAGGCCCATACGTGTTGTGAGCGCACACTTGAACCGATTGATTCTCAAATAGGAATTTAATTAATAAATTGTATAAATAATAACTATTATCTCAATTGAAACCATTGCCTATTGAACTGAACTGTGATCGAAGATGTAGTCAATAATTATAATACATTGTGAGGCAGACAAACATTGTTTCAACAAATATTTTCTATTAAAACACATGAAACGTGTGCTGAGCTCTCAAGTGATACAAAACTCCCCTCAAAATATCCATGCGATCCAATCAATACAATACATAAGATTATATCTATTTATTAATAATAATAACAATATTTCCATTCAAATGAATGTCACATATGTTTAGACAAAACAAGACATATTGTCTAAACAAAAAATCAATTATATTTGTGTAAAAGTTTTATTAGAAAATTGCAAATAAGTTAGAAAGGTGTTAAATATATAACGAAACATACATTTGTAACGATTCTGTGATAACAAGTCCACAAATTGAAGAATTGCTTCATTTCTTTCCATCGATTCATTTTACAGCCGATTAGTAATGAAAATAATTGTCACGAATTTCCTAATTATGATATCATATAACGTAATAACAAAACCATTTGAACCAAAAGCCAAAGCTCTGGGAGCTATTGATGCCATATATGAATACAATTCAAACCAATTTATCAATTCTATTGAAATTATTTCATATGTATATTAAAAATGAATTTATATATAGAAAGCAAAGGCAGAGAAAAACGAATGCAATTTTATATTTAAATTAAATTATATTAGTTGTTATTTCAAACTTTTAATCAGTTTATTGTTATTTACATAATTTGAGTGCCATTACAATTAGATGAGATATATTATTACAAATTTATCATATATTTTAAACATGTATTCCAGACGTGAGCTAACAATTTGAGGCACATTTTTGTAAATTAATAGTCGACTATCTATTTGCTGGCCTTTGCTTTTGATTCAAGTATTGAATACATTCCTAAATTGTAATTATAATTAATTGTTGAAAATTATACTCAG